CTAACAGTCTATGTGAAAAATATATGTTTACCCACCTCACGGAAAAAACACAACATTTTCTTATCCTTTGTTAAATCAACAGAAATAGAAATAACAGTCAGTTTTTAACTTCAATAATTGTTGAAACTCTCGAGCTTCTAGGGGCTTCACCCATGGACCCTACTGAGGCCTTCGGGTCTACCCCATACCCATAGTATAAAAAATATGCTCTCCCGCACCCAAACATAAGCTTTCATGATCTGCGGTTAAAAACATATTGAAAAAAAATTATTTTCAACTGTCAGCATTTACAGCATGGGTATATACAACTGAGTATACTTTATTTTCATTAAAGAATAATTTAACTTACAAAAAGTATCAAAAGAATGATACTCGTAACAAAATCGATGTTTTCATTTTATGTAGTTTGTTGGTTGCGAAGTTATTTCTGCTCTTCCCACGGAAGCTGACGAAATCCAATTTATAGCGTTATAAGCCGTGAAAATTCCCGCTGGGCCACCGGGAAGCTTTCCTTTTATATAGACTCAAACGTTTATTACTTTTTTTAAGGGATCGCTTATTACTGTTATTAATTATCATATTTAGCGCAATTTTAATAGCATAAATAAATGACATCTTTCTATTGTACATATCTAATTATTTAAACAAAAATAGTTAAAGTTGTAGGAGAACGAGAGAGTTGAGCGGTTGATTTTCACGAAAAAGAAGTTCGGTTGAGGCACTAGCTATGTTCCTGTTTCCTTAGAATAATTTTAACAATATTCATATTATAGTTATTGAACAATGTAACAGACTTTGTTAGTCATATCTTTCCTGACTTAAGGAAGATAAACTGATCATTTTATCTTTCACATAGATAATTCTATACCGAATTATTAAATTAATTCTGATTTACTAAGCTATTAATAAAGTCGACCCTTAATGCGAGAATTTATCAAATACAATATCCATTTATATAGCACCTGATACACTAATAAAAAATGTATTTATTTTCTATCAGTATAAATAGATTACATTTT